TTGAACATGTGATCTCTGCTAAATGAGGATGTGCTAGATAAGGGAGTATGCTGTGATGAAAACAGCCAGGATCAGAATTCCCCCTGCTCCTCACTGGCCTTTGGAGCTGAGGCTTAGGTTCTTCATCTGTGTCATGGGCATAAAGATCCTCCTTTTCCTGCCTGCCCATCCCACAGAATCGTTGTCCAGATAAAAAGTAGGCTGGGTACATTACAGGCTGGATTACCATGACAGAGTCCTTGTTTTGGGACAAGGTGGGGTTTGAATTCACAACTGGTTAACATTTCATTCATTAAAAAAATCAGTGAAGATTGGGCATGGTGGCTTACGCCTGTAATCCCAGCACTTTGGGAGGCCAAGGTGGGTGGATCACCTGAAGTCAGTAGTTCGAGACCAGCCTGACCAACATGGTGAAACCTCACCTCTACTAAAAATACAAATACAAAAATTAGCTGGGCATGGTGGCAGGTGCCTGTAATTCCAGCTACTTGGGAGGCTGAAGCAGGAGAATCGCTTGAACCCAAGAGGTGGAGGTTGCAGTGAGTCAAGATGGCATCATTACATTCCAGCGAGGGTGACAAGAGTGAAACTATCTCAAACAAAACAAAACAAGACAAAAAAAACAGAAAAATCCAAACAGCAAAACCTTATCTGTGACCCTACCTTCACCTCTCCAGGCTTGATGATTTGCACCGCCTGCAGGCACTCAAGTGTGACTTCAATTTTTCTCCTGCATTTCGACATGATTCATATGTGAGTCATGATTCACAGGAGTAGCATCTCTGTAGGTTTCCCTCCCAGTCCCATAGAATTTCATTTGGAGCATTGTTGGTGGGGACCTGGTAGCTGCGATCTTCACTTATTTTTCACCATGCTGCCCAGCAGAGACAGGACAGCTGGTGTGATTGGGCAGATAGTTTTTATCCTTCTGTTTCTTTAACTGGGTACCATTTTAGAAGACTTGCTGGTAAATGCCTTCCTTTATTGGAGGTAGATAATTTTGAAAAAGAAAGTAAGTGGATGTCATGTTTTCTTTCTCTTTAGTGTTGAGACTTAGAATCTGCAACTTGGTGTTTGTGTTGACTATAGGGTACATGCGGTATATTTGGCCTGAGAGCCAAAGTAAAAGTAACTCACGGCACATTGAGACTGGATAGAAGGACCTCTGTTATTCCTCCAGGCCAGATAAGTTTTTTTTATGGGTAACTGCCACCTCTGTAGCCCAGAGAAGAGAAACCACTTGCCTTAGGCGCAGGCTTCTAGATGTGGGCTTGGAACTAGCCCTAGAGGCTCCACACTGAGTAAAAAGCTCCACACTTTTTGACATTGATGTTTACAACCAGAGAACACATTCACAATTCTGAACAGATGTCAAAACAGACAGATCTGAGATGACTCTTATCAGCATTGGCTCCCCAAGTTGTATGTCTGGCTTTGAACTTTGAGTGTGAGACTTCATTCCCAAATGATGGGTTGGAGCAGAGCTGGCTGACCATAAGGTTTCACCTCCGTCATTGCAGGCTGCTGGGGCTCTTCATATGCTAATAGCAAGTCTGTATGACTGAAAATAAGACCTCAAATACAGAGTGGGAAAGGCAGTGTGTGAGGCTTGAATTGCAAGGAAACTGGGTGTAAGTAGCTTCCTGGAAGTCCTTAAAATATTTGCTTATAAGTGTAATAGCTGCCTGGAAGTTCTTAAAATACTTGCTTTTTCAGGATGTGTGCTTGTGTGTGCGTGCACGCGCGCGCATGTGTGTAGGTATGTCCACTAGAGATGGCACAGATCTACTTTTGGCCTAGGATTCAAAGCTGCTCTGATAAGTTGAACTGTTTCTTTTTCTTTTCTTTTTATGAACTGTTTATTAGTGTAAGAATTTGAGTTGTTTTGCAGACCAAGTCTAGAACAGGTTTTCTTTAAGCACAAAAACAGGTGATCAAATGAGCAAACTTGGCAGCCAAACCTGGGAGGTGATGTAGTAACGATTCTCTTATTGCTCAGAGTATTTTGCAAATGCCAATTTGCTAATTGCCTTCATACCAGTTCTCAAGCTGAATAAGAAAATTCACCTCATTGCTTCTTTATAATCATGCTTTATATTTGCATGAAAATGAAAGTTTGTCAGCCAGGTTTATTTTTACAAAAATTTAGTTCCAAGTGGCTTTTGGCTATTGACAAAGAACAGATAACGTTTCAGCAGCTAAAAATTGGTGCCCCAGATGGATAGTCAAGAAATAGAGCATCTGTAAAGTTGAGCAGAAAGAATCTAAATGCCGGTTCCAGCTACTGACTGTGAGATCTCTAGTAAGTTACTTAACTTCTCTGAGCCTCAGTTTCTTTATCTGTGAAAAAGGATCCTACCTACCTCATATCTACTCCTGGTGTGGGTTTGAATGAAATGAAATACTGTATTTGTCTGACTTAATACATTGTATCTTCTAGTATGATGACTAGTAATTTTTAAAAATCTGCTCCAAGTAGTTCCAAAAGAAAAGTCCTAAAATTGTTTTGGCCAGGTGATATCATCTTTATTTTTATTTTTTTTCAGACAGAGTCATGCTCTGTGGCCTAGGCTGGAGTGCATTGGCATGATGGCAGCTCACTGCAGCCTCAGCCTCTCAGGTTCAAGCGATTCTCTTGCCTCATCCTCATGAGTAGCTGGGATTGCAGATGCCCACCACCACGCTCAACTAATTTTTGTATTTTTAGTAGAGATGAGGTTTCACCATGTTGGCCAGGCTGGTCTCGAACTCCTGACCTTCAGTGATCCACCTGCTTCGGCCTCCCAAAGTGCTGGGATTACAGGCGTGAGCCACCACGCTCAGACCATCTTTGTAGATTAAAAAAAAAAATTATTTTAAAATTTATGTCCAGTAGAATGTACTATTTTTAGTGTAAGTTCTATGAGTTTTGACAAATGCATAGAATTGTATACCCACCAACAAACACATCAAGAGACAGAAAATTTCCATCACCACCCAAAATTCCCTTGTGCTGTTGCTTTGTACTCAGTCCCTCCGCCTGTCGTCTGGCAACCACTGATCTGTTCTCTGTCCCTCTGGTTTTACCTTTCCCAGCATGTAGTGTACATGGAATCATACAGTATGTAGCCTTTTGTGTCTGGCTTATTTCACTCACCATATTGCATTTGAGGGGTTAATTTACGTTGTCACATGTCAGTAGTTGCCTCCTTTCTATTGCTGAGTAGTATTCCATTGTATGGATGTACTACAATTTGTTTATCCTTCCCCTAGTTGAAAGATAATTGGGATGTTTCCAGATTTTGGCAATTGTGAATAAGACTTCTATAAATATTTACATGATTTTATATAAATGAAGTTTTTATCTGAACTTAAGTTTTCATTTTTCTTGTATAAATTCCTAGAAGTCGATTGCTGGGTCAAATGGTAAATCTACTGTTTTCCAAAGTGGTGTGCCATTTTGCATTCCTATCAACAATGTATAAGGCTGCCGGGCGCAGTGGCTCACGCCTGTAATCCCAGCACTTTGGGAGGCCGAGGTGGGTGGATCACGAGGTCAAGAGATCAAGACCATCCTGGTCAACATGGTGAAACCCCGTCTCTACTAAAAATACAAAAAATCAGCTGGGCATGGTGGCGCATGCCTGTAATCCCAGCTACTCAGGAGGCTGAGGCAGGAGAATTGCCTGAACCCAGGAGGCGGAGGTTGCGGTGAGCCGAGATCGCACCATTGCACTCCAGCCTGGGTAACAAGAGCGAAACTCCGTTTCAAAAAAAAAAAAACAATGTATAAGGCTTCCAGTGGTTCCATATCCTTGTCAACACTTGGCTTGTCCAGTCATTTTCATCATTCAAATAGGTTCGTAGCAGTATTTTACCACACTTCTTTTTTCTTTTTTTTTTTTTCTTTTTTTTGAGGCAGGGTCTTGCTCTTTCACACAGGCAGGAGTACAGTGGGACAGTCGTAGCTCACTGCAACCTCAAATTTCTGGGCACAAGCAATCTTCCTGCCTTAGCCTCCTGAGTGGCTGCGAACACAGGCACATACCACCATGCCTGGCTAATCACTGTGCTTTTAATTTACTCTTTCCTTAATGACTACTAATGTTAAGCATCTTTCAATGTACTTATGTTCTTTTTGCATTTGTTGTTTGGTAAAGTGTCTTCATATCTTTTGCCCTTTTCTCATTCGGTTGTTTGTTTTCTTGCTTTTGAATTTGAGAGTTCTCTATATCTTCTGGATGCAAGTCCTTTGCCAGATACATGATTTGCAAGTGCTTTCTCTCATGTTGTAGATTGTTTTTTCAAAGCTTTCACAAGAAATTTATAAATACTTGTTCTTGTTACAAAAGATTCAAATGACCCAGAAGAATTTAGAGTAAAAAGTACAAATTCTCTTTTACCTCCTGCCCCTTCCTCCAGCTTTCCTCTCAGAGGTAACCACGTTGACTGTTTAGTGAACGTCTCTCCAGTTCTTTCTTTAAAATATTTTTTACTTTTTTAAAATAGATTGGGTCTCACTCTGTCGCCAAGGCTGGAGAGCAATGGAGTGATTATAGCTTGCTGCAGCCTTGAACTCTTGGCCTTCTGAGCCACCAAGCTCAACCTCAGTTCTTTTTATGGTATCATAATTTTCTAGTAAATACATGTTTTGAAAGGGACATTTAAGTACTGATAGGTGTGTTTTAAAATTGTGTTACTTGACAGTCAATAAGTTGCATTTCTTTTTTTTTTTTTTTCCTTGAGACAGAGTCTCACTCTGTTACCAGGCCCCAGGCTGGAGTGCAATGGTGAGATCTCAGCTCACTGCAACCTCCGCCTCCTGGGTTCAAGCAATTCTCCTGCCTCAGCCTCCTGAGTAGCTGGAACTACAGGCGCAAGCCACCACGCCCAGCTAATTTCTTGTATTTTTTAGTAGAGATGGGGTTTCACCATGTTGGCCTGGATGGTCTCGATCTCTTGACCTTGTGATCTGCCCACCTTGGCTTCCCAAAGAGCTGGGATTACAGGCGTGAGCCACTGTGCCTGGCCAATAAGTTGCATTTCAAAGAGCCTTCCTGTTTTTCCTTTCGGCCCAGTTATAGGTAAAATCATTGTTTTTATGTTGAAGCAATAAGTTTTGATGTCTTGTGTTATATTTTAGAAAACCATGATTTGGGAAAGAAAATTCCGGAAGACAAGGATGGCTGATGAGTGGATTGAATTTAAATAGATCATTTTATTTTATGTATTTTTTAGAGACAGGGCCTTTCTCTCTCTGTTGCCCAGGTTGGAGTACATGGCGTGATCAAAGCTCACTGTAAAAATAGGTCATTTTCTATTCAGTAAAGATTGCTCTAATTAGTTGAAATGACTTTGAAATGTGTCTCTTTTCTTGAAATAAGCGTCAGGTTGCTCGTGTGAATGTGATCTCTTTTAACAAAGAATGATATCAATAACCTCAGAGTAGGGCCGAGCGTCTTGCTGCAGCCTCGGTCGCGATGAGCACAGCGTCTGGGTCCCGCGAGGTGTGGCCTGCAGGGACTTGAGTTAGTTTGCTCAGCAGCCATTTGGCCCAGCTTCCTCGAGGTAGGCTGTGAGCCGCCTTCTGCTCAGCAGTCCGTATGGAGCAGCAGCTCCAGGAGGTGAGACACTGGCCTGCTACCACCAAGGAAGACACTGGGTACTTTCCAAGTTGTGCAGAATTTTGGTAGGGAACAAAACATGACAGAAACAGATGGCTTCTATAAAAGAGAAATATTTGATCCAGCAGAAAAGTACAAAATGGACCACAGGAGGAGAGGAATTGCTTTAATCTTCAATCTTGAGAGGTTCTTTTGGCACTTAACACAGCCAGATAGGCGGGGCACCAGCGCGGACAGAGACCATCTTACCCGCAGGTTTTCAGATCTAGGATTTGAAGTGAAATGGTTTAACGATTTTAAAGCAGAAGAACTACTGCTCAAAATTCATGAGGTGTCAACTTGTAGCCACGCAGATGCCGATTGCTTTATGTGTGTCTTCCTGAGCCATGGCAAAGGCAATCATGTTTATGCATATGATGCTAAAATTGAAATTCAGACATTAACTGGCTTGTCAAATGAGACAAGTGTCGGAGCCTTGTTGGAAAACCCAAGATATTTATCATTCAGGCATGTCGGGGAAACCAGCACGATGTACCGGTCATTCCTTTGGATGTCGTAGATAATCAGACAGACAAGCTGGACGTGACTGAGGTGGATGCAGCCTCTGTTTACACACTGCCTGCTGGAGCAGACTTCCTAATGTGTTACTGTGTTGCAGAAGGGTATTATTCTCACCGGGAAACAATCAGTGGCTCATGGTACATTCAAGATATGTGTGAGATGTTGGGAAAATATGGCTCCTCCTTAGAGTTCACAGAACTCCTCACACTGGTGAACAGGAAAGTTTCTCAGCGCCGCATGGACTTTTACAAAATCCCAAGCGTGACTGGGAAGAAGCAGGTTCCTTGCTTTGCCTCAATGCTAACTAAAAAGCTGCATTTCTTTCCAAAGTCTAATTAATAGGGGCGATCTTATCTTACAGTCTATATTGAAAATGTCTTTCTCTTCTTTTTATATAAATATCGTTAGGTTAAGCATATGGTCAGTGATTCAAATGTTTTAATGTTTAATGCCCAGCAAAGAACTGCCTTTAAAAAAAAATAGTTCATGTTGGCCATGGTGAAAGGGTTTGATATGCAGAAACAAAATCCTCAGGAAATCAGATAAATAATTTACAAGCATTTGTAATACTTTTTAGTAAACTGCAGGATTACACAAAAATCTGGCTGATTTAACTAGTATTTTGTCACATTTTTAATGAAAGTTTTTATAAAAGTTGATTGTTTTTAAAGGTTTTTGAAATCTAAGAATTAAATCATCCCTTATAAAATATTTGAAATTCAAAAAAAATTAATAACCTCAGAGTTCTGGCTCATTCCCAATTTTAGATTGATCATTTTTCTTTGATTGATTCCTTTGTACTGTTTGAAATATTCAGCACAGAATTTGCACTTGGTTTATATTTTTATTTTTAGCTCCAGTTTTGGCCTTTTTGAACTGTAACTGGTCAGAACTCTTGCAGTTTGAGCCTTCTTAAGACAAGCTGTTTTTATCTTTCAATAGGTATGAATCCTAGGACCCAGAATAAGGATTCTCTAGAGGACAGTATTTCTACCTCTCCAGACCCAAGTAAGAGGGGGCAGCTGACTGGGAAAAGGGGTGGACAGGGTATGTGGGGTGGTCAGAGCATGAGGAAACAAGAGGAAGCCCTGTGGGAACTGAATGGTCCTGAGGTCCACCTATCTCTGGGGTATGGGATGGTGATGTGGTGAGGGAGGACTCTCTGATGGAAAGTGAGGGGGGTGTGACTGAATGACCTGTTTTGGAAGGTGATTCAGGGGTACCTGGGAAAGGTAGCAGATTCCCTATAAGGCCACTGTGCTGGTCCAGAGCTGGTCTTCACCTTTAAATGCCTAATGATATCTCCAGGAAAAAGTTGGAAAGACACAATGGGCTGTTACTGGAATCACTTGCCTGTCTGTAGTTGAAAATATCTGGCTGGTTTGCATTCTTTATGATCATCTTTTTTTTTTTTTCTTGAGACAGAGTTTCGCTCTTGTTGCCTAGGCTGGAGTGAAGTGGCGTGATCTCAGCTCATTGCAACCTCCGCCTCCTGGGTTCAAGCGATTCTCCTGCCTCAGCCTCTCGAGTAGCTGGAATTAAACGCGTGCCACCACGCCTGACTAGTTTTGTATTTTTAGTAGAGATGGGGTTTTTCCATGTTGGTCAGGCTTGTCTCAAACTCCCAACCTCAGGTGATCTGTCCACTTGGCCTCCTAAAGTGCTGGGATTACAGGAGTGAGCCACCATGCCCGGCCTCATCATCTTTTTAAATAGCTATGCAGTAAGAGAACATCTAAATATCTACAATAATAAAACAGCAGAGAAAATCCTGACTTGATAAACTTTACTTAGCTGTGACCAGTGGATATGTTTCACTGAGTCTTTTTGTCCCCACTTAATAATCCTTTTACCATTTCTTCCCTCCTAGCAGTCATTTGTAATGGCAACATCAAGCGCATTATTGTTTATTGCTTTGAATAATCATATCTTATTCGTGACCATTTGGATGGTTTCCTGTTTTTTAGCAATAGCATAGGATGAAGTTATGATAATACCTTGAGGGCTGAGTATGGTGGCTCATGCTAGTAATCACAGCACTTTGGGAGGCTGAGGTGGGCAGATCACTTGAGCCCAGGAGTTTGAGACCAGCCCGGACAACATATTAAATTCAAAGTGAATAAAAAATTAACTTTTAATAATACATTAATAATTTAACTCTTTTAAAAGTTAATGATCAGCAGGTGTATTTTTTCTTTTGGTTAATGTCTTTGGATTATATTCCCCCAAGTATGGTTCGCAGATTGACTATTTTCCCCAAAAGCTGCCAGCAATGAATAGATGATCCCATTTCTCTACAACCCTATCACTGGAATTTGTTACATTTTTTCGTCATTGTTATTTTAGAGGTTCTGAGGTAGAATTTCCTCAGAGTCCTTCTTTTCAGGACCAGAAGATACTGGGGTTAGAAAACAGGCTGCGTTCTTTTTCTAGAGACAGAACACCCTTAAACTTATAATCAGGATCCTTTTTCACCATGCGTTCTTAAACTAAGCATTTGAACTCTCTGTATCTTGTTGCGTGCCCAGCAGAAAGCATTTCTACAAGATTTTTGTAATCCTAGGGTCAGAAGGCTGATGAGGGCCGGGATGATCTAAGAGGACATAAAGATAGAACTGTCTTCTCTTTCTTGCTTTCCCCACTGGGGCTTTGATCAGGTCTCCATCTTCTGTTCTAGCCAGGAAGTAGAAACAAGCTCACCTCCTTGGGTGCCATATAGAAAAATGGAGATGATTAATTAGGCTATTCTGGGCTATGTTTTGGATTCCTGAATTATTAATGAGTTAATAAGGCCCGTGTAGAGCAGGAGTTAGACCTGTTGCAGGCCAAATCATCTTCCCCAAGTCAATGGTGCCATGTGGGGCATCTTTTTACTGTGACTTAGCACACAAATTTTGTTCTTCATCGATGGGAAGGCTGATGAGGCAGCAGGGCCTACACCACATTGTAAGTTGTATAGTATGGTACAAAAATAAGGCATATGAGTATCCCATTCAGAACTTAGAGAAAAAGGCTTAGAGGTTTTTTTGGCTTCATATTGCTCCCTTCTTTGGAGAGTTAAAAGATAACCTTCACTTAAATTACTTAAAGAGGTAACTACCCTATTACCCCTCTACCTTTTTTTTTTTTTTTTTTTTTGGAAACAAAGTCTCACTCTGTCTCCAAGCTGGAGAGCAGTGGTGCAATCTCAGCTCACTGCAACCTCTGCCTCCCGGGTTCAAGCAATTCTCCTGCCTCAGCCTCCTGAGTAGCTGGGACTAAAGGTGTGTGCCACCACGCCCAGCTCATTTTTGTATTTTTAGTAGAGACACAGTTTCACCACATTAGCCAGGATGGTTTTCATCTCTTGACCTCATGATCTGCCCACTTCGGCCTCCCAAAGTCCTGGGATTACAGGCGTGAGCCACCGCACCTGGCCACTGCCCTATTACTTTTAACTCAGTGAAACTCAACCAAGGAGGTTTTTCCTCCCCAGGAGAACATGTCAATGCCTACAGACATTTCTGGTTTTCACAGCTAGGGGATACCCCTGGCGTCTAGTGAGTAGAATCCAAGGATGGTGCTACAATACCCAGGACGGCCTCCCACAACAAAAAAATTATCTGGTTCAAAATCTCTGTTGTTGCTGAGGATGAGAAACCCTACTTTAGCTGAGGACCAGGCGATTCTAGACAGACCCATGTGGTCAGGCCTACTCTGCTAACCGAAGCTTTTGTTTTTGGATTGTTAAATGCTGTCTCTTAAAGCTCCGGCCTCCTAACTTTCCCAGACATCTTTACTTGATTTTTCCTCCCACCCTTTTGGATCTGTTACTTATTTTTGTGGTGCTAGAAGTGTTCCTTATTTCTGCTGCTGTATGCTGTTCGCTCCCAAACCAAGCTGAGCTCCCTTCTTTTCCCCACCCAGCCACTCTGCAGTCCTTGGGAGAGGTTCGTGCTTGGGCCTCCCTGCTCTTGGAACATTGATGTGCTTCGACATGTAATTCTGCTTGCCCTGCAGTAATCTCACCTGCATTGCGGCTGTAGCTCACGATCAGCAGAAAATGAAAAGTATCAGCTGTGAATCCCATTTGCATGATGGGATTGGATAAGCATGTGCACTGCATTGTCTAACAAACTCTGTTTCTCTCTCTTTCTCCCTCCCCTGTCTTTCCAATCTTCCCTCCCCTATCTTCTTCCCACCCCCTTTCTTCCCAATCCTGGCAATTTTATCACCTTTCACCATGAAATTTTTTCCCCACCCTTCCCTCCCTTTCCTTCCCCTGACCCCCCCCATCCCACACTTCCCATGGTGACCACATGTACCTTTTCACCCTGTTACATGAGGCAGTTCTGACACTGTCTGCTCCCCCTGTAGTGCCAGGCTTCTGTTGCACAGTTGGAGTGGACTGGAAGTCTCTCACTACTCCGGCGTGCCTCCCCCTCACCACCGACTACTTCCCTGACCGCCAGGGCCTGCAGAATGACTACACAGAGGGCTGTTATGATCTCCTCCCAGAAGCAGACATCGACAGGTCAGTGTCAGAGAAAAAGGCACTTGGCTTGGTTTGTGACGGTTGTGTACATATCCCACACATGCATCAGAACACTGAATTTGTGCTTGCTTCAGCAACACATACACTAACATTGGAATGATACAGAGAAGATTAGCATGGCCATTAAATTAAAAATAAAAATAAAAACATTGAATTTTCTTTTATCTTTCTTTTTTTTCTTTTTATTAAACTGAGACAGGGTCTCACTGTCGCTCAGGCTGGAGTACAGTGACACAATCATGACTCACTGTAGTCTTGATCTCCTGAATTCAAACCATCCTTCCACCTCAGCCTCCTAAGTAGCTAGGAGTAGCTGGGAGTGGCAGCATCACATCCAGCTAATTTTTGTATATTTTGCAAAGACACTGTTTTGCCATATTGCCCAGATTGGTCTCGAACTCCTGGACTCAAGCCATCGGCCTATCTCTTGTGTCCTGAAGTGCTAAGATTACAGGCTTGAGCCACTGTGCCTGGCTGAACACTGAATTTTCAAGCCTGTGTCCTCCTTTTATATTTGGGTAATTTTTTTTTTTTTGAGACAGAGTCTCACTCTGCCACCCAGGCTGGAGTGCAGTGGCACGATCTCCCCTCACTGCAACCTCTGCCTCTCCGGTTCAAGTGATTCTCATGCCTCAGCCTCCCTAGTAGCTGGGACTATAGGCATGTGTCACCACGCCCAGCTAATTTTTTTGTATTTTTAGTAGGGACAGGGTTTCACCATGTTGGCCAGGCTGGTCTCGAACTCATGATCTCAGGTGATCAGCCTGCCTTGCCCTCCCAAAGTGCTGGGATTATAGGCATGAGCCACCGTGCCTGGCTGTGGGTAATTTTATGATATAAGAACTGTTCATTTTTCCAGAGTTCCATTGACATCAACTATTTCTCCTCATTGATTGATTCATTTTGAACTCCTGTTGGTTCTGGCCTCGCTGATTATTCTCATATTTTCTAATGCAATTATTTTGGGCACACTAAATCTGATTTTCTTTTCTAAGATTACTCATTTGGGCATTGAATTACCTGCCTTTTTTCACCTCTTTGAACTGTTCATTTTCCCCAAGACACTGATTTACAAATTGTTAGTGGTTTTTTTTTTTCATATATTTTATTATATTTCCTTTTCTGTCTTTCTTTTATATATTGTCACTCAGATTGAAGTGCAGTGGTGCCATCTTGGCTCATAGCAACCTCTGCCTTCCAGGCTCAAATAATCCTCTGACCTCAGACTTCTGAGTAGCTGGGACTACAAGTGGGTGCTACCATACTTGGCTAATTTTTGTATTTTTTTGGTAGAGACAGGGTTTTGCCATGTTGCCCAGGCCAGTGTTGAATTTCTGGACTCAAGCAATCTGCCCATCTCAGCCTTCCAGAGTGCTAGGATTACAGACATGAGCCACTGCACCCAGTTCAAACTCTTAGTTTTATGAACCACCATAGAATGGTTATAATGGGATAAAGCAAAGGAGATGATGGGACTGTACACTCTTAAGTGTCACTGTCCTGGGCCAAGTATCTGTATGAGCAATCATCTGTTTTTTTAGGAGGGATGAAGAGGGTGTGCAGATGACAGCCCAGCAGGTATTTGAAGAGTTTATTTGCCAACGTCTCATGCAGGGCTACCAAATCATAGTGCAGCCCAAGGCACAGAAACCCAACCCTGCCGTCCCACCACCGCTGAGCAGTAGCCCACTCTATAGCCGAGGTGAGTTTTTCTCCTTGGATTTATATTTTTTTCTCTTCTGTATTTGTGGAATTGGGTTTTCAAGATGGTAGAGAATAGATAAATTGAGAAGTAGTTGTTTTCAACACAAAAGTTTTCTTTATAAATTCTACTTAAGTGAGGAATAAAGTGTCCTTTAGGTATGGATTTATTGTAAATGCTCTCTTTAATTTGTAACTCTCCCTTTAAGGAAATAGATATGACCAATATCAGGAATGGGACAGCCTGGCTTGGACAGACACCTGGGAATAGTAGGCAGCTGAGTCAATACTAAGCTGTCAAAGTGTGTAGAGAACATTCTAAACCCAGAAACCTATATTTGTTTCTAGTACAATATCTGGTACACAGCAGTTTGTCAGATGTTACCTAAACCTGAAGTTTACAGTTCTTTTTTTCCCCGTTCTGGATTCATCTGTGTCTTCTTTATCACTGAAGCTAGTGGCTTGAAGCAAGCATGGGTCATCTGTGAGTGGCAGAGGCAGCTAGTAAATGACAGAGAATCGGCGTTGCTAATTGATCAGAGCCAGGCAGTGGAGAGCTGTTCTAAAATAAGTCTAACAGAGGGAATTAAGTGCAGGTGCCTGGAATCAGAAAGCAATAATTACTTCCTGGAATAATCAATGAGCTGTCTTAGTCTTCTGTCTCCTCATTATTGCTAACAAGACCCCGACTTCCCTGATCACCTAGTGATAACCTTGGATCATCTTTGTCTCCATGAGAGCTTCTCTGGCCAGAGGATCAGAGAACTGTGGCCCTGTTAGAAGGATCATGCGGTCATCTAGTCCAGGCCCTGTTGTTTACGTATGAAGCTTTGGATTCCCTCTGGATTTTCTTTGAAAGCCCCTTGTGACATTTATTGCATGTTGCCTTGTGTTCATCTTCCAGAACCTACTGAATGTTAACCTTTTTGAGTGCCAAGACTATTTCTGTTCAACTTTTTGTCCTCTGCAGTGGAAACCACATGCCTGCCATACGATAATATGCAACAATATGTGTCAATAAATATATGAATTTGGGCTGGGCACGGTGACTCACGCCTGTTATCCTAGCACTTTGGGAGGCTGAGGCAGGTGGATCCCATGGATGGATCAGGAGTTCCTAACCAGCCTGGCCAACATGGTGAAACACTGTCTCTATCAAAAATACAAAAATTAGCCAGGCGTGGTGGCGCACGTGTGTAATCCCAGCTACTTGGGAGGCTGAGAAAGAAGAATCGCTTGAACCCAGGAGGCAGAGGTTGCAGTGAGCCAAGATTGTGCCACTGCACTCCAACCTGGGTAACAGAGCAAGACTCCACCTCAATCGATCAGTCAATAAAAATAAATGAATGAATTTGGCTAGGCATAATCCTAGTACGTTGGGAGGCTGAGGCAGGAGGATCCCTTGAGCCCAAGAGTTCAAGACCAGTTTAGGCAATTTAGGAAGACCCTGTCTCTAAAAAAAAGGAAAATAAATAATAAATACATGAATTCATCTATTCACTCATTCGTTCAACAGTGTCTTTGAAGCACTTACTCTGCATGGCTGGGGAGATGATTTATAACCCCCTCAGGGAAAATAACATTAGTCAAACTGTTAAATATAATTACATGTTGTGATAAAGGCTGAGGGAGAAGTCATGGGGCTGTCAGAACATTTAATATGGGGCTCTATCTAATCTGATGGGTCATGGACAGGTTCCTAGAGAAGATAAGGTTTGAGCTTAGACCGAAAATATGTGTAGAAGTTATTAGGAGCAGCAGGTTGGGAATGAAGAGCAGAAGTAGAAGGGAAGAGCATGCCAGGCAGAGGTCAGTTTGTGCAAAGGCTCTGTGGCAGAAAGCATTGGGATACTTTCTGGATGCCAAAAAGAAGGCTGATGTAAGGGAGCACAGGGAGGGAGCCAAAGGTGTGGCCAGAGATGTCAGGAGACCCAGGCCTATCTGAAGGATTTTGATCTTTATCCCAAGAGTAATGGGATGAATTCACCTTTCATTTCACTGGTGCCTTCCAGGCTGCCCACCTGTTGTTCTCTGGAATAGCTGGTGGATGTCCCTCAGTGGTCTGAGTTACTCTAAGTCCAGTTCTGTTCCTGGCTGATCCATGAGCCTCATGTGATGGTTAGTTGGCCAAGGCTATTTGCCTGACTGTATCCTTTCTGGTTATCTTTTTTGCTGTGATAAATTTAATTTATCTAATTTCTATAGTAACAGAAAGGGTACCATTGTTATCCTAATTACTGGAAAAGTTGCCATCACAACCAGGCCTGTGCTGCTTACTCATCGGAGATGTATTGAATACCATGTGTGAGCCAGGCCCTGTACTAGCAGGGAATACAACAGCATTAGCACTCCCCTCAGAGTCTACAACAGAGTTGGATGTTAAGCTTATAAACCACAAGTAAATATTTGATCACAGATTGTGAAGAATAAATACCATCCAGGATAAACACAGGAATAACTGGGGTGCACATAATTTAGAATGGGGATGTCAGGTTCAATGTCAAATGCTCATGAACCTTTTCCCATGACGTTGTCTTTCCAACAGCCAGCAGAGTATTTGTTGCATGAATAAAGGAATGTTTGGATGAGGGCATGCCTTCTTTCTTGGTGTAGAAAGTGAGATTTGGGGCTAGGCGCTGTGTCTCACGCCTGTAATCCCAGCACTTTGGGAGGCCAACGTGGGCAGATCACAAGGTCGAAAGATCAAGATCATCCTGGCTAACATGGTGAAACCCCATCTTTACTAAAAATACAAAAAAAATAGCTGGACGTGGTGGCACGCACCTGTAGTCCCAGCTACTGGGGAGGTTGAGGCGGGAGAATAGCTTGAACCCAGGAAGCAGAGGTTGCACTGAGTCGAGATCACACGACTGCACCCCTCCAGCTTGGTGACAGAGCGAGACTGTCTCAAAACAAAAAAAAGAAAGTGAGATTTGGTGCCCAAGATCACACAAGCTGGCATGTGAAAGTGCTGGGGTTGAACCTGGGGTCCCCTGAGTAGCTTCTGTTTTATATGCAGCTGGCCTGCTGCTCCCTTGGCACCATCTGGGAAATTTCCACATTCACAGTGAATATTCTTTCAGCCTCTGCCATCCTCTCTCCTCTTAACCACTCCCATGCTGCCTGTCGCTGTGTGACTGTCTCAGAGCTGAATAAGAGTGCTACTGGTGGACGGTGTCCAGGTTTTTGGCACCTTGAACAGAGAATTGAATAAAATGCACAAACAAAGTAAGGAAAGAATGAAGCAACAAAAGCAGAGATTTATTGAAAATGAAAGTATACTCCACAGTGTGGGAGCTGGCTGGAGCATAGGAGCTCAAGGGCCCCTTTACAGAATTTTCTGGGGTTTAAATACCCTCTAGAGTTTTCCCATTGGTTACTTGTGTACACCCTATGTAAATGAAGTAGTGGCTCACAATCAGTCCGATTGGGGAAAGCAGCCCATCAGAGGCTGAAGTGAAGTTATACAATTAAACGCCTATGCAAACGTTTGATTGGTTGCAAAAATCAAACTAATCAGAGACACTTTCAGTTTTCCATCTGCCTCACAGTAAAAGAGGGGAGTGGTTTGCAAAGGAAGTAGCTTCTTCCGGTCCTTTTGTTGCTTAGGTATGGAAGGTTGGGGTTTTCCTTTTGATTTAGTTCTAGGAAGTCAGCCTGAACTGGCCTTAGGTTCCCTGCCTCCTTACCCTATTCTCCTGCTCAAGAGGACTGCTTTTCATTTCCAGATCAAGGGAATCTTGGCTTGGCTTGGTTGTTCTTTAAGGCATGATTTTTACTCTCTTGAACATTTGTCATTTTCTTGATTCCTGATTATTTTCCTCTTGCCTGTGTTTAATTCCGTTCAGCTAATAATGGACATAGCACTTTATCAGGTGCTACTAAAAATATAAGGAGGAACAATGTTTGGGCCTTGGCCTCCAGAAACTCTTAATTTGTAAGGGGTAAGAGACATACACAAAGAGCTATATACAAGGTAGGATTCAGACTGCTGATGGGGTCTGACAGCTTTCTGGAGGAAGCAGCATTTGATGGTGACTTTAAATGATCCATAGGATTTCAATGTGGCCCAGGAAGAGAATGCAAAAGAAAAAAACATGAGCAAATATTTGCATCAAATAAATAAATGGTCCATTTAGACTGAAACTTCACATAGCAGTATAGGAGTAGTGAGAGCTAGGACCAGAAAGCTAGGTTGGCTGCCACCCTGGAGTGAGAACCTCAAATGCCAAGGTGGGCAGCTTATGCTGGTGTAGTAGAGTTCCATTTTAATAACACAGTCATCTCTTACAGAACTTTCCTCTCCAGAGGATGAGGTATCAGGTTGTTCAGCTTTGAGTGTGCCATCTAAGTGCTATCAGCCAGCACCCTCAGGCTCTAATCTGCTGCTGCTTGGTTTAATAACAGAAAACCCTGCCAACCTCAGGAGTTTTTTGTTTTGATTTTTTTAACCAAGAATAACTTTCTTCCATGAAACTTCCCCTCAAGAAAAAGTGTTACTTCTTCCTTTTCTCATTTTCTGAATTCATATGGATGAGAAACAATTGCCTATTGTAGGAATGAGCTTTAAACAGATGGAGGAAATCATTATTTTTCTGATAGGGCTTGTGTCCCGAAACCGCCCTGAGGAGGAGGACCAGTATTGGCTGAGTATGGGCAGAACATTCCACAAAGTGACGCTGAAGGATAAGATGATTACAGTGACACGATACCTTCCCAAGTGAGTATTTGGATATTTAAGGTCTTCAGTTATTGTCCTGAATTATGTCCACATACTAAATTATGTGTATAGTACGTAATTCAAACTGAGGAAGTTCAGTGGTTGGTTTTTCTTATGGAGTTTTTTTTTTTGTTTGTTTGTTTTCTAGGGTTATTTTAGGGTCATAGCTTACCTACTTCCAAAGGGAATTTGATTCATCTTATAATGTTTAGCATGATTCATAACAAGCCTATTTCAAATAAAGATTGTAAGGAGAGAAGGAAAGAGTTGAAGAAAATCTGAGAAATTTCCAGTGTTGTTCTCTGTGCTGAGTTGGTTACTGCAGTTGAGCGGTAAATGCCAAGGATGGTTCTAAGTATATTGAGATAGAAAAGATAGAGAATTGGCAGGAATTTGTCTCTAACTCATTTGAATTTGGGGACTTGCCCTTTATTTTCCAGGTATCCTTACGAATCTGCCCAGATCCACTACACCTACAGCCTCTGTCCTTCCCACTCAGACTCAGAGTTCGTCTCCTGCTGGGTGGAATTCTCCCATGAACGGCTGGAGGAGTACAAGTGGAATTACCTAGATCAGTATATCTGTTCTGCGGGCTCTGAAGACTTCAGGTCAGAGAGTGGGCTTTGGATTTCCATCCTTGCAGCTTTGGGCAAGGATGTATATGTGTATTTTAACACTTTCTGCCCTTTCACACTCTCTCTCTCTGTGTTTTTAAAGAGACAGGGTATCAGTTTATCACCCAGGCTGGAGTGCAGTGGTACCATCAGAGCTCACTGCGGCCTTGACTTCCTGAGCTCACATAATCCTCCTGCCTTAGCCTCCTGAGTAGCTGAGACCACAGCATGCACTATCATGCCCGGCTCTTTTTAAAAGTTTTTGTGGTGACGGAGACTTGCTATGTTGCCCAGGCTGGTCTTGAACTCTTGGGATTGCAAGCATGAGTCGCTGTGCCTGGCCACGTCCTTTTTATTCTGATGGCAAAATGGTTTCTGTTTTAGAAAAAAATGGAAGAACAAAAGTACCTCTGCATTGTGTTAAAAACTCAATGATAAGATGGATAGTGGTGATGGCTGCACAACATGTTTAATGCCACCGAATAGTACATGTAAAATTGGTTGCTATGTGTGGTGGCCCACTCCTGTAATCCCAGCAATTTGGGAGGGCAAGATGGGAGGATTGCTTGAGTCTAGGAGTTCAAGACCAGCCTGAGCAACAAAGGGAGACCCCATCTCTACAAAAAGTGGGGGAAAAAAAAAAAAAAAAAGGTCAGGCACGGTGGCTCACATCTGTAATCTCAGCACTTTGGAAGGCTGAGGGGGGCAGATCACCTGAGGACAGGAGTTGGAGACCAGCCTGGCCAGCATGGTGAAATCCTGTCTCTACTAAAAATATAAAAATTAGCTGGGTGGGGTGGTACATGCCTGCAATTCCTGCTACTTGGGAGGCTGAGGCAGGAGAATCGCTTGAACCTGGGAGGTGGAGGTTGCAGTGAGCCAAGATCATGCCATTGCACTCCAGCCTGGGCAACAAGAGTAAAACTCCATCTCAAAAAAAATAAAATAAAAAGAAAATTAACGGGGCATGGTGGCACACTCCCACAGTCGTGTCTCATGAGGAGACCAAAGTGCTTGAGCTCAGGAGGTTGTGACTACAGTAAACCATGATAGTGCCACAGCACTCTAGCCTGAACAACACAGCAAGACCTTGTCTCAAAAAAAATAAAATAAAATAGGTTAATGTGATAATTTTTTTGTTATGTATGTTTTATCACAATTGAAAAAAACTCACAAAACTCAGTGATGATGTGCCTTTTGATGCAAGTGGCAGTGCAGATTGTGTTCTTAACATTTTCTTCACTAGTTGGCTGGTAGCTTTGTGGTGTCTCATTTTTAATTTTTGATTTCTATGCATGATTTGTGATTGTGGTGATAGCCACAAATTCACTGGGCCTGGGTGTACAGAAGTATTCTGACATCTCTGGGATCAAAGCAAAAGCCGCCTTTGTGGTCTTCGTTCAGTACTTGTATTTTCTTTCTTTTTTTGTTGGTTTTTTTGAGATGGAGTCTTGCTCTGTCCCCCAGGCTGGAGTGCAATGGCATAATCTCAGCTCACTACAAACTCCGCCTCCTGGGTTCGAGCAATTCTCCTGCCTCAGCCTCCTGAGTAGCTGGGATTACAGGCATCCGCCAACCACGCTCAGCTAATTTTTGTAGTTTTAGTAGAGACAGGGTTTTTCCATGTTGGTCAGGCTGGTCTCAGACTCTTGACCTCATGATCCACCTGCCTCAGCTTCCCGAAGTGCTAAGATTACAGGCATGAGCCATGAGCCACCGTGTCTAGACTTTTTTTTTTTTTTTTTTTTTTTTTGAGACAGGGTAGATAGAGATGGGGTCTTGCCATGTTGCCCAGGATGGTCTCAAACTTCCGAGTCCAAGCAATACTCCTACCTCGGCCTCCAAAATGCTGGGATTATAGGCATGAGCCACTACGCCCATCCTCAGAACTTGTATTTTCAACGAAGCCATGAGCTGTGGCATCAGATGAACACATACTCATGGGGAGATGGACCTTCACACACGAACTCCACAGAGAGTTCACTGAGAGTGCTTTCATTATCTCCTTTTTCTCACTACTACCCTATATTTTTCTTGGCCCTCTGTAGCTTAATTGAGTCCCTGAAGTTCTGGAGGACCCGCTTCCTGCTGCTGCCAGCCTGTGTCACCGCCACCAAGCGCATCACGGAGGGAGAGGCCCACTGTGACATCTATGGGGACAGGCCCCGTGCAGACGAGGATGAGTGGCAACTCCTGGATGGCTTCATCCGCTTTGTGGAGGGCTTGAACCGCATTCGCAGGCGGCATCGCTCAGATCGCATGATGCGGGTAAGGGCTCCTTGGACTCAGGGAGTGTGCCTAGTGTGAGATGCAGGGTCTGCCTCCTTCTCTGTTGGGGCCTCTCATCTGCCTGTGTATTTACTCCTCAACTGCCCATTGTTTATCTTAAATCTAAAACTGTGTTTTCTCCTCCACCACAGGGTAAAGGAGGAAGGGATAGAGTGCATATGGTGGTGTTCTGTGGCATAGAGCCACTCCCTTCCACCTGAGGACCCAGCGCTTTGAGGTGCTTCCCAAGTGGGACCCTATATTGAACCCAGCTGCTTGTGTGACTGGGTGCTGGATTGCTAAGTAGAAATTCTCAGGAGGTGAACAGCAGCAATCCTTCCTCACTCATCTCATTCCAGCATTCCCAGCATCCTGTGCTGCATTTCAGTTACATACTACCTAGTGGGGAGACTCAGGCTCCTGGGGGTTGTGGAATATGCCAGCTATAAGGGGCAGAACTGGGATTCAGCTTTTTTTTTTTTTTTTTTTTTTTTTTTT